CATGCTAGGCTCGTCAAGTTAACCCTAAGTGTTTTCGCTGTGTAAAACTGTCTTACACCCGTTGTGTGTGAACGTAAGAATCCATCACACCCGATCATCACGTGGTGCTTAGAAGCGACGAACTATAGCAACGGTGCACAGTTAGGGGAGAACACTTCTTGAAATTTTGTAAGGGATCATCTTATTTACTACCGTCGTCCTAAGCAAACAAGATGCATAAACATGATAAACATCACATGCAATCAAATAGTGACATGATATGGCCAATATCATTTTGCTCCTTTTGATCTTCATCTTCGGGGCTCCATGATCATCATCGTCACCGGCACGACACCATGATCTCCATCATCATGATCTCCATCATCGTGTCTTCATGAAGTTGTCACGCCAACGACTACTTCTACTTCTATGACTAACGCGTTTAGCAATAAAGTAAAGTAGTTTACATGGCGTTCTTCAATGACACGCAGGTCATACAATAAATAAAGACAACTCCTATGGCTCCTGCCGGTTGTCATACTCATCGACATGCAAGTCGTGAATCCTATTACAAGAACATGATCAATCTCATACATCACATATCATTCATCACATTCTTCTTGGCCATATCACATCACATAGCATACCCTGCAAAAACAAGTTAGACGTCCTCTAATTGTTGTTGCATGTTTTACGTGGCTGCTATGGGTTTCTAGCAAGAACGTTTCTTACCTACGCAAGACCACAACGTGATATGCCAATTGCTATTTACCCTTCATAAGGACCCTTTTTATCGAATCCGTTCCGACTAAAGTGGGAGAGACTGGCACCCGCTAGCCACCTTATGCACCAAGTGCATGTCAATCGGTGGAACCTGTCTCACGTAAGAGTACGTGTAAGGTCGGTCCGGGCCGCTTCATCCCACAATACCGTCGAAACAAGATTGGACTAGTAACGGTAAGCATATTGAACAACATCAACGCCCACAACTACTTTGTGTTCTACTCGTGCAAAGAATCTACGCAATAGACCTAGCTCATGATGCCACTGTTGGGGAACGTAGCAGAAATTCAAAATTTTCCTACGTGTCACCAAGATCTATCTATGGAGAGACCAGCAACGAGTAGAAAGAGAGTGCATCTACATACCCTTGTAGATCGCTAAGCGGAAGCGTTCAAGTGAACGGGGTTGATGGAGTCGTACTCGTCGTGATTCAAATCACCAATGATCCTAGTGCCGAACGGACGGCACCTCCGCGTTCAACACACGTACAGCCCGGTGACGTCTCCCACGCCTTGATCCAGCAAGGAGAGAGGGAGAGGTTGAGGAAGACTCCATCCAACAGCAGCACAACGGCGTGGTGGTGGTGGAGGAGCGTGGCAATCCAGCAGGGCTTCGCCAAGCACCATGGGAGAGGAGGAGTAGGGAGAGAGGTAGGGCTGTGCCAGAACTTCGTGTATAGCTCCCATGCGCCTCTCCACTATATATAGGGGTGGAGGGGCTGGTTTCTTGCCCTCCAAGTCCATTGGGGCGTTGGCCAAGGTGGGAGGAAAGAAATCTCATTATTTCCTTCCCCACCGATTGTTATCCCCCCTTTTTAGGGATCTTGATCTTATCCCTTCGGGATATGATCTTTTTCCTTCTAAGGGGGGATCTTGGTGCGCCTTGACCAGGGGTGTGGGGCCTTGCCCCCACTACCCACGTCCATGTGGGTCCCCCCATGCAGGTGGGCCCCACTCCGGAACCTTCTAGAACCTTCCCGGTACAATACCGAAAAATCCCGAACATTTTCCGGTGGCCAAAATAGGACTTCCCGTATATAAATCTTTACCTCCGGACCATTCCGGAACTCCTCGTGACGTCCGGGATCTCATCCGGGACTCCGAACAACATTCGGTAACCACATACAAACTTCCTTTATAACCCTAGCGTCATCGAACCTTAAGTGTGTAGACCCTACGGGTTCGGGAGACATGCAGACATGACCGAGACGTTCTCTGGTCAATAACCAACAGCGGGATCTGGATACCCATGATGGCTCCCACATGCTCCACGATGATCTCATCGGATGAACCACGATGTCAAGGACTTAATCAATCCCGTATTCAATTCCCTTTGTCTATCGGTATGTTACTTGCCCGAGATTCGATCGTCGGTATCCAATACCTTGTTCAATCTCGTTACCGGCAAGTCACTTTACTCGTTCCGTAACACATCATCCCGTGATCAACTCCTTGGTCACATTGTGCATATGATGATGTCCTACCGAGTGGGCCCAGAGATACCTCTCCATTTACACGGAGTGACAAATCCCAGTCTCGATCCGCATAAAACAATAGATACTTTCGGAGATACCTGTAGTGCACCTTTATAGTCACCCAGTTACGTTGTGACGTTTGATACACCCAAAGCACTCCTACGGTATCCAGGAGTTACACGCTCTCATGGTCAAAGGAAGAGATACTTGACATTGGCAAAGCTCTAGCAAACGAACTACACGATCTTTGTGCTAGGCTTAGGATTGGGTCTTGTCCATCACATCATTCTCCTAATGATGTGATCCCGTTATCAACGACATCCAATGTCCATAGCCAGGAAACCATGACTATCTGTTGATCACAACGAGCTAGTCAACTAGAGGCTCACTAGGGACATATTTTGGTCTATGTATTCACACGTGTATTACGATTTCCGGATAATACAGTTATAGCATGAATAAAAGACAATTATCATGAACAAGGAAATATAATAATAACACTTTTATTATTGCCTCTAGGGCATATTTCCAACAGACTCCTCCTCCCTTGGCGCGCCTAGAGAGGGCCGGCCAGCCTCCCCCTCCCTCCTTTATATACATGGGGAGGGGGCACCCTAGAACACACAAGTTGATTGTTTAGTCGTGTGCGGTGCCCCCCTCCATAGATTTCCATCTTGGTCATATCGTTGTAGTGCTTAGGCAAAGCCCTGCGTCGGTAGCTTCATCATCACCATCATCACACCGTCATGCTGACGAAGCTCTCCCTCGACACTCAGCTGGATCTAGAGTTCGAGGGACGTCACCGAGTTGAACGTGTGTAGATCACGGAGGTGCCGTACTTTCGGTGCTAGGATCGGTCGGATCGTGAAGACGTACGACTACATCAACCGCATTGTCATAACGCTTCCGCTTACGGTCTACGAGGGTACGTGGACAATACTCTCCCCTCTCGTTGCTATGCATCACCTAGATCTTGCGTGTGGGTAGGAATTTTTTTGAAATTACTGCGTTTCCCAACAGATTTTGCGCCGTGGTGCAGTGCCCCATGATGGCCATAGATCTTGTGGTGTGGTAGTAGTCCCCAATGATGGTGATCATGGAGGATGGGACTGGGATTTCACTAGGGACATGGCAGGCGCAATGGCACGTTGAAGATTAGGAGGGGGCGGCGCCAGTGACAAAGAACATGAAGAACTGCTATTATGGCACCTTGTTGTTTAAAAGTTGCCAAAAATACAATGAACCATCCTATTGTTTAAAATTAATTCTACGAAATGAGATCCAATATGATTTTTTGAATTTTTTAAAATTTGGTTTTCCATCAACATTTTCAATGTACCGTGTCAACATTTGTTTGTACTGTGTCAACAAATTTGATATTCTATGTTAACATTTTTATGAAAACATTGACTTTATTTTTTAAATGTTGATGTGGATTAGAAAATTGTTGACATATTTTTCAAAACTATTAAATTGATATTAAAATCAATATAGCAGTTTGTAAATTAATTATCATGATTAGAAATCAAAAAAATAAAAACACTTGTGCACCTTCGTAGACCGTGGTGAGCTGTACCTTAATGGGCCTAATGGACTGATCTGCATGTTGCTAAATGTAGATATATAGGAGATCCCTCAGGCAAGATCGTGCCATGTATCATTTATGTCCACTTTTTTTTGCGAATATATGTCCCGTCTATCACAATTACAATATTTGACACAATCAACCAAATTTCTCGTGACCGGTTTAATGGTTTTCACAAAAACTGTAAAACCCGATTGGTAAATCGCTCAAAAGGTAAAATTCCAATTCAAACAAAATTTCTCGAAATGTCATTCGGTAAGCCAAGCGGTTTCTCGATTTACCACTCGGTTTTCTCGGTTTTTCCTCTACATAAAAATGGTCTGTACATTTTCAAGTTTTAATCGTGCAATGAAACAGGGCATATGGCTACATTGCTTTTCAAAGAAATAACAAAACATCTAGATGTGGTTGGGGAGGATGAGAGGATGAATGGATGTCGGCTAGCCACGCCTAAACCCTGGCTAGGCCCCCATCATTCATGGCTAGCCAAGTGGTAGCCACACCTCCTTGGGCCCGAGGAGAACCGCTCCGCTAGCCGCCCGAGCCACTCCCTTAGCCGGGGTTTGGAGGCCGGGGCGTCTGATTTGGCTGGGATGGAGGGAGGCGGTGGTCGGATGGCGGGAGGCGAGTGTTGAGGGTGGAATGAGCTCTGGACCACTGGAGGCGGTGGTGTTTTTTGACCAATGAAGAAAATTCAATTTCTTTTAATTATTTTTCTTCATTTCTTCTTTCTTGATTTTGTGTCAGTCAAACATGTTTGTTTTCATAAACTTCTTTAACCATATTTTTTTATTATTCATACAGTTTTTTTAAAAATAGTAATAAATTTTCTGATTTTTTTAAATAGACCGAAAACCGATCATCTGCTTAAATCGGACCGGACCTGTTTTGAAAACCCTGAAAATTGGCAACCATGCGTGTAGAATACTGACTTTGTAAATGCACCATCTAGTGGATTCTAGTGGACGACAGCAGGCGATTCATGATCAGATAAAAAACCGATTCCTGCCGCCTTTTAGCATTCTTAATTAGCGGAACCTAACAAGGGCCTGATGAGACAGCCGCCACATGGATTGTTAAGCGAAAAACAGGTACCCGAACCGAAAGATCGAGCACGTAGAGGAGCTCAAATTATTCCTCTGATTTTCACACGCTGACTTGGATCGAGTGAGCTCGGGGATGGAAGGCGACAAGCACCACTTCGTCCTGATCCACGGCGTCTGTCACGGCGCGTGGTCCTGGTACAGGGTGGCCACCGCCCTGGAGGCCGCCGGCCACCGCGTCACCGCGCTGGACATGGCCGGGTGCGGCGCCAGCCCCGGGCGCGGCGAGGAGGTGGCGTCCTTCGAGGAGTACAGCCGGGCGCTGCTGGACGCAGTGGCGGCGCTGGCGGAGGGCGAGAAGGCGGTCCTCGTCGCCCACAGCTTTGGCGGGCAGAGCCTCGCGCTGGCCATGGAGAGGTACCCGGAAAAAGTATCCGTGGCCGTGTTCGTCACGGCCACCATGCCCGCCGCAGGGAAGCCCATGACGTACGCGTTCAAACAGGTACACGAAATCCCGTGTACGCAAATGCAAATTACAGTAGCTTCCATTTTCTTCCTGACCATTAATGATTGTACGTACGAAACTGTTAGCTATTGCAAGGGAAAGGGCCAGATTTCTTCATGGATTCCACGCTCGGAAGCACCGGTGATCCCCGGAATCCGGATAAGACGTTTCTGTTCGGACCAAAGTACATGGCGCGGAGAGTGTATCAGCTGAGCCCTCCTGAGGTATGTTACTCACTTCGTCTCAAAATTCTTGTCTTAAATTAGTCTAAATATAGATATATCTAATATCAAAACATGACTTGATACATCCGTATTTAGATAAATCTAAGACAATAATATTGGGACGGAGGAAGTACTTTACAGTGGCCGTTTGTTCCTCAATTTCTCCTTATACTTCCTTCCTCTGATGTATGGTGCAATATAATACGTATAATGCAGGATCTGACCCTGGGAATTGCGATGGTGAGGCCGTCACGGCGGTTCCTAAATGACGACACCATGAACGGGGACGTCCTGACGTCGGCGAGGTACGGAGCGGTGAGGCGTGTGTACGTCGTGGCCGAGGACGACGAGTGGAAGCCGCCGGGGATGCAGCGGCTCATGGCCTCGTGGAACCCCGGCACTGAAGTCATGGGATTGCAGGGAGCTGATCACATGCCCATGTTCTCAAAGTCGAGGGAGCTCTCAGAATTACTCATGGTGATTGCCAACAAGTACCCAAGAAGCTGAGTTGGTTAGATGGCTTTACTGGAAGCGACAATCACGGGTCTAAGGCCTGGGCTAGGTTGTTGGTTGTTCTCACACAGGTCACGATGCCGCAGTGTAAGGTTTTCTCTATGCAAAATGTTGGGGAGCTGTCTTACCTCGTAGGTCAATTTGTTTCTTCATCGCAGCAAGTCGAAATAGGATCATAGGAGCCCCGCTCCCCCGCCTCTCTCCCCCTCCCCCGTCCCCGCCCCGTCAGGCAAAACCTCGTTTGGCGCGGCAGTGGCGGGGGGCCTTCTCCCTCCCTGCTCGTGGGACGCCGATGCGGGGCGGCCTCCTCGACCGGCGGCGCTGGACGTCGCGGGGTTCAGCGATGCGGCGGCGGACTCACGGGACGGCCGGCTGGTGGCGGCGCGCCGGCGCCCTGGATCTCGCGTGTAGTGGGGTGGCTGCAGCGCTCCCGTCTCATGAGGTGGCGCGCGGTCGGCCTCCTGCTGGATCTGGCCGGATCTGGCGGTGGGGGTCGGCCGGTGGCGCGTGGCGGTGGTGGTGCGTGCCCGGTGGCTCCGGTGCTAGGAGCTCGCCGGGCGACGCGGGTAGGGCAGCGGCCGGGGGTGGCCGTTGCTCCGGCCGTGGGTGGCGACGTGTGGAGGTCCGGCGGTGGTGGACTCCCAGTGTCATGCCGGTTTCATGGTGGCTTGGCGGATCTGTCTGCGGCGGCCGGCTTCTCCGGCATCGGCGTGTTTGCAATCAGACCGTTTCGGCCTTCACCCCATCTCCTCGGTGCCCGGTCGCTACTCCCTTCGAAAGGTTGGCCCTCTCCCAGTTGTAGTCCATCGCTCGTCTCGCGTCCGATGAAAGCAGGACCGAGCTCGTCTCGCGCACGGTGCAGCAAGACTGACCTCATCCCCCCTCCTCCTACGGTGCTGCAGGATCGAGCTCGTCTCGCGCTCCGGGCCGCAGGAGGGTCGATGGATACCAATGCTGGCCGACCTATTGGGTCTCGACATTGGGGGTGGACCAGGGGTGCAAAGGCGGGTCCTTTTTCGCTTGTCTCTTTGGTTGGGGTAGAGGCAGGTCTCGGGTGTGGTGGTGTCAAGGTCTGGGATGTCGGGGCGGCGGCCCTGGTGGCGGTAGCACGATGTTCATGAGCAGAGCCCGTGTCTTGGCGCTGCCCGATGGCCATGGCCGTGTTGGCGGCGTGGTAGACGGGGTGTAGCGTTCAATAGCGGTGAGTGTTGGCCGGGGTGAAAACCTGCTCTATCTTCGGACGGACCGGCGACGGTGAAACTCATTCCCTTCTTGAAGATGTCGTCGCGGCTCTTATCGCCCATCGTGCGACTCCAGGGGAAACTCTGATCCTCGGATCGGGCGGTGGCGACGCTCCGGTGGCGTACCCTTCCTGAAGGTGCCGCCTTAGAGTCCACGGTCCGTTGCATGCTGCTTCATCTCTTCGTGGTAGTGTGCTAGGGGTGGTGTTGCTGCGCTCGGCGCTTATGTATCATACCTTGGGTGTGTGTGATGTTGATGTGCGTTTGTTCCAGATGATATTGATCTATACTTTATATATAAAACGGGACGAAAGCCTTTTTGATAAATAGGATCATATTATCTAGTCATTGCCTGGAGAAGGAAACTTCAAGCACTGATATTACGACACATTCCTCGTAAATCTACGGTTGAGCCACGATGGTGCAATATAATGCATGATATCCTTACTTCCTCTGTTTTAGTTAGTTACAGTGATGAATTACGGTCTGGTTGGTGTGTATCGGATTTGGATAACATTAGGCCTTGATTGATCTCAATTTTGGCCGATTTGGAGCGAAGTGTTCAAGTTAAATTCCCAATTACACATTTGTTAGTGCCACCTGTGGTCAACTAGTCATAATTGTTCTGTTGTTGTTAATCTAATTTGCATCATTTTGTATTAATTAATTATGATTAATGACTAATTAGGCATAGTTCTATTTAGTTTTATTTCATGGTAATTCATACTTAATTCCTCTTTTTAGGTCTTGATTAGTTAGATCCAAGGTATTGTTATTCCTAGGTTAGCATGAATTGATGCTAATGAAACCGTAAACCCTTTCATCTTTACCCCCAAGAGCAAGTATAATAAGGGGACTTGGGCGGGCTGTAAAACTTAAAATAATACATTGTTGCTGAGTTGCCAGAGAGATGAAAGGAGAGAGAAGAGAAACGGACTACTAACTAATAGCCGGCTGCAAAACGTGTTCCTAAAGACTTTGTGAGAGAGGGAGATGGGCCATGTATCAATAAAGTAGTACTATTTGCATGTGACTATTATACTTGCCGGCTATAAGCTTGGCTATAGATGATTTGACAACATCTTATAGCCAACTGTTGGCTATAGTATTAACCATGCTCTAACAGAACTATAGAACGGTGGAATCCCCAAAATTCCTGAGGTACCGTAGCTCACAGGCTACTGTAGCTGTAGGTCTTTATCATACTGCTGATTGTGTGGGGGTGAGCTCAACTTAAATACCCGAGTCACTGAACTATAATAACTCCAAGTTAACCCTTTTACGTGAAGCGAGGACAAAAGCATAAGGGGGCTACTATTGCGTAGGCGTAGGTAGGGTCCACACGGTGTGTGAGTGGGTCTGATGCTGCTTTTTAGGGTCGGGATGTTACACCCACACGTGCGTGTTTGTCATCATGGCCACAAACATAGCTTGTCGGGCCACTTCCCTAAAAATAAGCTCGTCGGGCCACAAATGTCACGAGGTCACCACTTGCGTGCTCATGCACCTGGCTCCATCTGTCGTTCCCCTGTGGTGCCGTGTGGAAGTCCTTTCTCGCGGGTCGACTTCTCATTTGTTGCATGCTCATCGCTCCGTCCTTTTCTGTCCAAGGATGGAGTGAGGATTCAACCATGGAGGGAGACAGAGAATGGAACTTGTAAGATGAGGAGGGCTAAAGTTAGTTTTTCTCTCAAATTACATGGTAATTTCTAGTGTGCAAAGAGCAAGTGCATCAAGCATGGGGGTGCTAGGCCCCTGCTCGCACCCCCTTAGCTTTGCCCCTGGCCCCATCCGTATCGCGAGCACCGCCACATCCGACGACCCACTTGTGGTAGGGCAAACCTTCTAGGTCTGTTGTAGAGATGTGGTCCAACTCTCTTCTCATCAAGCTGGTCATAGTGAGAAGTATCATATATTAGTATCATGCATATGATATTAGTGTATGATACTACATTTATGGTGCATAATATTATAGGTCAGGATCATAGATGGTCTCATTTATTGTCATGCATGACACATAGTAGTATAACATTTATCATGACACGGTATTTACCTATATTACTATAAATCTTCTCTCTCTTCTTTAATTGCGTGCCACACAAGCATGTTTGCGAGTTCCAAGTGCATAATACCGGTTATGTTACCCCTGCTATGGCCAGCCTTACTCTTGCTTTTCATGCTCATCCCGAGCTCGCATAGCTGTAGCAGAGACGAAACCCAACCCAGTTCATTTTGCAGCTCGGACGGCGCCCAACACGACGCGTAATTCCGCTTCCTGGCACGCCGCACGGATAGAACATTGGGGAGAGAACTAGCACAGCCCATCAACATAATGCCCTCACCCCGGAGCTCGACTTGGCAAGTTGTACATCTTCCCGTCCGTGACGAGGTCCAGTGTTTCAAGAACAGAGGATCGCTCTGCTTTCTCAGAGACTCGGATAGCATCGTGCCACTACCACATCTTCATTACATACCCGACCTTCTTCATCAGCAGCGGTGTCGTAGGGGCAAACGGGATCAAGGACCAGACGGCAACATACTGCCACGGCAAGGTGTAGGCGCCATGCTTTGTTTTGATATGCTCTACTCCGGTGAGGTTTAATTTTTTAAAAGATTTTCCTATGATTCAAAAATGTTTGTTGATCCTTACTAGTCTTGCTGGTTCTTGATGGTTATCTACAGGTGGAAAATCTACGTCGGGTTCCAAAGCAAAAATGCTAGACCTGCGAAATTAAATTGCGTACCTTATTAACTTTTTTTCCTCACTGATCAAACCTCCCTTTGAAATTTCATGGCGAGCCACATCATTCTATAACGTCCCTCACTCTGTAATCTCTCGAAATAGGCTTTGCCCTGCTGTGGCAACAACACAAACACGCCCAAAAAAGCATAAAAGAAATAAAGAAGAAAAAAGCCACCAAGTGCCAGACGACAAGGCGACCCTACGAAGAGATTAAGTGACGCGTTGTAGCCAGAAACACGTTCATCATCAGTCTAAGCCGATCTCGGTCACACTGCCTAGAAAAGCGGGTGCAAGTGCTGCAAACAAGTAAGGAATTTGAAAAATGAGTTAGAGGCCTGCTGCGGGAAAACCCGCCCATTCACCATTTTATTACAAGTCGTCCATAACATCCAAGACATCGCCACAAAAATTAGCCAGAAAAGACGGTGGTTTCGACTGTGTTGGATCGCTCTAGTCTCAAGGAACTCCGCAAAGTCTATAGCCTCCCAGTCAGGCCCTAGAGCCTTGTATACGAAGGACCGGAGAACCCGCGCTGCCGTGCATGTCACGAGAGGTTGGCCACAAAGGAAAGCCCAAGAGGAATATTCTCCTTAATCAGCTGGCTGGATTTTCAAAATTAGGAACCACTCGAGCGAGAGCATATCATGAGAGGTTGGCCACGTTGGTATTTTGCCTTGATGAGCTGCAGTCGGAGTCCACCTTCTCCCTCGCCCCGTAATCTTAAGTAGGTGTAGCAAAGCTCGTTTGAAAGCTGAAAATTTTCATCGCGAAAATGCTACATCTACATAAAGCTTTTAACGTAACCTACGTAATTACGTTCCGCACTAACTAAACTACCACCTGATTTCAAGGGTGAGCCCGAGCCCAATTACTAAGGGCTTTGCTACACCTACACCTACACCTACGAAGGAGTTATTATGTTCTTTACGTAATTGCTGATCTCGCATCTTTTAGTTTGTCATTTGTGGGCCGCACGGGCCCGCCCTAGAATAGGAGGGGTGGTTTGATTG